GTGTGAGAGAGAGAGAGAGAGAGAGAGAGAGAGAGAGAGAGAGAGAGAGAGAGAGAGAGAGAGAGAGAAGACTTTTGGCTCTGAATTATGTTAATGGGCATGTACATTCTATATTTCGTTAAGAAAAAGAAACATTTCAAACACAGATCGCAGAGCAGAATCTTGTTCCTTGACTCTGGGCAGTCGGGGCTGTAGGCTACAACAGAGGAACCCCGTTGATCTGCCAGTTAACGTCAATCTCGTCCCAAAGGTAGGGGTATAACGAGGTTTTGTTTTTGGTGGATTTTTTTGTGTGTGGGGGGGGGGGGGGGTTGTTAGTGTTTTACGGCGCTTGCAACTGCATAAGGTCATATGAGCGCGAGGGACTCACTGTGCACTTAATATTTTCAGTTGATAGGAAATTTTGAACGAGATTTGACTGTACACATGTATTTGGCCTTTCTCCCACTTCCTTTTATTTTTTTAAAAAAAGCTCATAGGGCCTACTCATTATAAAATGCAAGGTACTTTTAACTGCTAACAGCTCGTTCTAAGCAGCCTACGCCAGGTCCAAGAAGAACTCGATCAATTACTAGAGACGTCCACGTCTTCAGGACAATGCTTATTGTGTGTATGTGCTTTTGTGTGTTTTAGTTTTAGTAAGTGTTTTACGGCACTTGCAACACAATAAGGTCACATAAATGCCGAAGATTAGAGGTGTTACAAGAGAGTAACGAATGCAAAAAAGAAAAGGGGGAGATAAAGACGATTGACGTTTGATAGGAAAGAAGAAGCAAACCACACCAGATCACCCGCCAACCGTCCATTTGTGTGTGTGTGTGTGTGTGTGTGTGTGTGTGTGTGTGTGTGTGTGTGTGTGTCGGAGTCGGAGGGGTGGGGGGTGCGATCGAACCTATAGACATAAGAATGTATTCATTTTGGGACTTTGTATTGTCGACAGACATCAGACAGTAAGCTAAACAGTTGAGGGAAAACTCCAACAATTTAGAGCCATACAGGGCCTACATATTACATGCATTATTTCTGATGACGATGACGATGACGATGACGATGACGATGACGATGATGATGGTTGCAAAATGGAAACCTGAGGCCAAGGCACAACATGGATGAAAAACCATGGGCATAATATGATAATCGTAGGCCTACAGGGTCCGATTCCGTGGGTCTTTGAATTACGCCGTAACTTTGTACAGATCCCGCTGGCTCCGTATACAATCATAATATAATGAGTACTGAGACTTGAAACCCATAAACTATACAGTGGAAACTTGATATAACAGTAGAAGTGGGACCAGAGAAAAAGTCTTGTTATATATATCAGATCCCTGCTAAATCAGAAATGCAAGGGAAGTAAGCAATTGTGGACCTGCGCATAACACATTACGCCTGCGTGTAGCTAAGCTTAGGGCTAGATCGAAGTCTGCAACACACCACAGCCCTCTCTCGTTTCACCTGCTGCGTGTGCTTGCATTGGTGTGGCTTGCGTGGGCTGGCTCCATCACTGCGTTACTCTCTCTCTCTCTCTCTCTCTCTCTCTCTCTCTCTCTCTCTCTCTCTCTCTCTCTCTCTCTCTCTCTCTCTCTCTCTCTCTCTCTCTCTCTCTCTCTCTCTCTCTCTCTCTCACTCACTTTTTACACATTGTTAACGAGCCTTTGTCCCTGCCATAACCGATTGGGCTCCGATGAGACCCTGTTATTGCCGATAACTTTTTATTAGAGACAAAGAGTAGAAAAAAAACACTTTATTACCCGATCCCTGTTATTACTGGGCAAGTTATATAGTTAATGGTTTCCACTGTAGACCTACGTTTTTGTCAATTCTTAGAAAACCTCAGTATGAGCCATTCGTTCTGATGGGCATCAAGACCAAAGCTCTATGAAGTGATGGGTTTTGTCAGAGAACCTTTCTACTTTTTTTTTTTTTTTTAAATTTGTTTTAGTAAGAGTTTTAAGGCACTTGCAACACAATAAGATCATATAACTGCAGAAGATTAGAGGTGTTACAAGAGGGTAACAAACACAAAAAAGAAGGAGGAGAGATCAGGACAATATATGTTTGATAGGAAAAAAGGAGCAAACCACACCCGAGCACCCGCCAACCACCCACCAACAATGGGGAGGAGGAAGACTGACGAGGATGGGTAGGACGACGAAGACAACGACAAGATCGACGAAGAAGATGACCGAGGACGAATAAAACATCAGTATGGGTTATTAACTAGAATTTTTTTTTATTTCTGTGAATTCTAATTTTTTACACTACGCAATAGCAATAAATTAATAATGACAAATCATAATGGTAGTGGTAACACATGTAATAATAATGCATGTGTAATAACAATAGTAGTATTACATGTAATTATATGATAATGACATTGATAATACATTATGTAATAATAATTGAACGGAACCTTTATCATTTATTACTACATTGTAATGCAAACTAAGTCAGGCATATGCCAATTCATGGCAAAGAGCAAGTTTCAATAATTATTATTATAAAGATGAGCTAAATTGATGCGGACTCCTAAGGGCGTCATGGTGAAAACCTTTTGATAATGTCCTGCATGAGCTGCAACGTCGACTCTTTGTAGCCTTTGTCAAATCGAGCTCTGGGGGGCGAGAAAAACCGGGAAGTTTCCCCTTAGACAAACATTCGTCAAAAATACGAGAAAAGGGAACAGACAGACAGACAGTTTAGTTTTCGTAAGAGTTTTATGGCACTTGCAACACAATAAGGTCATATAAGTGCCTAAGATTAGAGGTGTTACAAGAGAGTAACAAACACAAAAAGGGGGGGGGGGGGGGAGATAAAGATGATAGATGTTTGATAGGAAAGAAGGAGGAAACCACATTCAAGGAGTTTTCAAGGAGCTCGATTTGAGTAAGTGTCAGTCACTGTGGTGCAGTAGGTTATCGGGTGAATGTTTTTTGTTTGTTTTAGGAAGACTTTTACGGCAATTGCAACACAATAAGTTCATTTAAGTGCCGAAGAATAGAGGTGTTACAAGAGAGTAACAAACATAAAAAAGAAGGAGGGGAGATCAGGACGATATTTTATGTTTGATAGGAAAGAAGGAGGAAACCACACCAGAGCACCCGCCAACCACCCACGAGTAAATGTTTAAGTTCACAGGAGACGTGGAAAGTTACCACGAAATGAAAAGGTTATGCCATGATTGAGTTTATCAGGATGCAGGTACACGTTTAAAAAAAATTTCGGTACGCGTTTTACGCACTTGCAACACAATAAGGTCATATGTCGAAGATTAGAGATGTTACAAGAGAGCAACAAGCATTAAAAAGGAGGACGATAATTGTTTTGTAGGAAAAGAGGAGCAAACCACACCACACCAGAACACCCATCGACCTACCACCCACTTGGGGACATGGAAGGTGACACAATTAACGCGAAAAGAATGAAATCGCTGTAAGAAAATTAGGCCTATAGAGTTCAAGGAACAGACACTGCCAGCTGTACTTTTCCATCACCTGCTAATAGCCCTAAAAATTATATGAAACTGGCTGGGCCCCCTTTCGATAAAAGGAATGATCGGTGCATTAACATCAACTGAAAGTCATTGGCCTACTATACTCTACTGGAACGGAGCAATAAACCCTGAGAGATGTAAAAAAAATTAGAAGGTTTGGTTATAATACAGTGGAAACCTGATGTAACAGGGATGGTTGGAGTAGAGAAAATGTCCTGTTATATCCGATCCCAGTTAAATCAGAAATGCAAGAAAAGTAAGCATTTGTGGACTAATCCAGCTGTACTTATTCATGGGTAGTTTCCCTTGCCACAAGTACCCACGAACAGGGGTTTTGGCACCAACTTTCTCCTAGCCTCCTTAAACTTAAACTTAAACCACATCAGAAGAGCTTGGTCCATAGCATCTGCATCGGGTAGTCTCATCTTCTTTCGATCCAGAGCAAACTTTGCATGGGAGTATGCTGCCACTATCTTCTCGCTATCCTTGATAATGGTGTGAATTGACCCGCCTTGTAGAATGTCGAACTGCCGACAACTCTCTTCCAGTGAAGCTTGCTTTTTGTCAACAACCTGGATTATTTCGTGTGTTTTTTTGTCAATTAAACGGAATTTTCTCTTGCGCTTAACATCGTTGGGGACACATTACTCGTGCGTGTTGCTATGTTTCGGGCTAGATCGAGGTCTGCAGCACACCGAAGCCGTCTCTCGCTTCACACGCTGCGTGTGCTTGCAATGGTAGATCTATGGCTTGCGTGGGCTGGCGTTGCTCTCTCTCCCTCTCTCTCTCTCTCTCTCTCTCTCTCTCTCTCTCTCTCTCTCTCTCTCTCTTACTTTTTACACATTGTTAACGAGTCTTTGTCCCTGCTATAACCGGTTGGGTTCCATGCCAATGAGGCCCTGTTATTGCCGATAACTTTTAATAGAGACAAAGAGTAGGAAAAAACGGGGATTTAAAAAATCCCTGTTATTACCGGATCCCTGTTATTACCGGGCCTGTTATAAATATGGCTTCCACTGTAGTGATTATCATGTATAGGTTGATTCTCTATTCCTCTTTCGTGGTTGTACACTATAGAATTTTAAAGGTGTGGAAACAATGCACCCGGCTAGTGAACAGAAACCTCACTTGTTTACAATGGCATCTTAGAATACGGACTTTCCCAAGACTAGATTGAAACGTTAATGTACCTGCCCGTTTGTGTGTCCGTTAGTGTGTCTGCCCGTTTGTCTGTTCGTTTGTGTATCCGTTAGTGTGTCTGCACGTTTGTGTGTCCGTTAGTGTGTCTGTCCGTTAGTGTCTGTCCGTTAGTGTCCATTAGTGTGTCCGTTAGTGTTTCTGCCTGTTAGTGTGTCTGCCGTTTGACTGTCCGTTAGTATGCCTGCCCGTTTGTTTGTCTGTGTGTCTGTTAGTGTGTCAGCCCGTTTGTCTGTCCGTTAGTTCACCAGTCCTTATACTCACGCATGCACGTCCCTCTCCACTACGCCCAGTAAGGCTTCCGGGTTATAGGCCGGACCATGGTGGTTCCTGCATCATGGGGGATTAAATACAATACGAAAAAGTCAGGGGAAATTGTCAAACAACCCCCCCCCCCCCCCAACCTCCCAACCCCCCTTCAAAGCAGAACAGTTTTAGTTTCAGAAAGAGTTTTACTACATTTGGAACACAATAGGGTCATGTGAGTGCAGAAGATTAGAGGTGTTACAAGAGAGTAACAAACACAAAAATAAGTTTTTTAGTTTTAGTAAGAGTTTTACGGTACTTGCAACACAATAAGGTCTTATAGATCTAAGTGCCGAAGATTAGAGGTGTTACAAGAAAGTAATAAACACCGAAAAGAAGGAGGAGAGATCAAGACGATAGATGTTTGATAGGAAAGAAAGAGCAAACCTCGTCAGAGCACACGCCAGCCAATCACGAACATAATAGTTTCGGTTTACTCCCAGTTCATGATGTCTGACCCTTAAATCATTGTTTTATATGTCGTTTTTAAGCACAATTGACGGGTAAAGTTTTTGCCCTTTGTTCTGTTTCTTTAAAAGGCAATGAGAGTTTTCTCTATAATCAAACTAATATACACACCAATGAAATCAAAAACTTCTCCTATAGGTAGGGCAATGCCCACTTTTGGTGTAGATCTATGATTTCTAGAAACCCCCAAAATCTGGGTTAGCCCGCTTGTCCTTAACACTTTGCAGTCACACTGCCTGCAGTACAAAATAGGCCTACCCCATGTGGTCACCCAGCCAGAAGAGTGATTGCAACGGGCTTCTCGGGCCTGGCGCAGTTCAGTGACCGGAACGGATCATTTTCACTGTCGCATTATTTCGCCAAGTGACTGCAAATTGTTAAAAGAGACCGAATAAGAGTGGAGAGACTTTCCACTCACCACAGCTGGAAGTAGTGGTATAACAAGTACAAGTCCAGTCTGTCTTGGAACCCCGGCTGTTTGGGCAGGAAGCTGTGGTAACTGTTGAAGTAGCTCTCTTCAAATCCTTTGTGCACTCGGGCGATGGAGATTTCAAACTCGTCGTGGCCGTAGAAACAGATTGGGTCAAATGACACTGGGGACAGATTTGTTTTAGTAGAGGTTTTGTTTTAGTTTTAGTAAGAGTTTTACGGCTCTAGCAACGCAATAAGGTCATATAAGTGCCGAAGATTAGAGGTGTTACAAGAGAGTAACAAACAAAACAAAGAAGGAGAGATCAGGGCGATACATGTATGATAGGAAAGAAGGAGCAAACCATACCAGAGCACCCGCCAACCATCCTCTGGTAGAGGTTTTACGGCGCTCGCAACTGAATAAGGTCATACGAGAGCCAAGTGGACAGATTGAATCAGATGATGTGTATCATGACTCATCATCATATGCACACGTTCACAAACATACAAACACACGCACACAAACACACAAACACGCGCGGGCATGTGCATACATAATTATGTGCACACAAGACACACCGACACAGACACCCATACACATAGACACACAGACACAGACGCACGCACGCGAGCGCACGCACATACGCACGCACACACACACACACACACACACACACACACACACACACACACACACACACACGTACACACACACACAATTAATAATAATACTGATAGTGGTAATAACAACAACAACAACAACAACAATAACAACAACAACAACATCAACAATAACAACAACAACAACAACAACAACAACAACAACAACAACAACAACTATATAAAAATAATTAATAATTAATAATAATGATGATGATGATGATGATGATGATGATGATGATGATGATGATGATGATGATGATTTGCCCATCTACCTCCCACACACAATGAGAGTTTGACTTATTGACCTACCCGGCCCACTATCTGTTTCCCCGATGTTCCCTCTCCACAGATCTCCGTGTAATAAGGCAGGCTCTACGGTCACCGCGGAGAACAACTTGGGAATGACTCGCTCCAGCATCGCGAACACAGGCCGGGCGTCTCGGTCGTTGTGCTAACAGGATAAGATGAAGAATATGTGTGAGACATCGTGGTGAAATCGGGCGCTCGTCAAAATAATGGAATTTAAAAATAATTGACAGTTTTCTTGCCATTCAGCTTTTTTTTTTTTTCTAAGTTTCTTTTCTTTTTTTCTTTTTTTGGCTTAACACCTTTCACGCCCATATATAAAAACACATTTCTTCATGGATTTTTAGTGAAAAACATTGATTAAACGCACACAAAATGAACATTTTCAGTTTCCAAGGACTCTCAATCTATGGAAGTTGCCAAACTTTGGCGGCCATTTTATTGCTAATTTTACCTCTGAAACCTTGCGACCCTGACCCCCCTCAATCGCAAATATCTTCTATTCAACATAGATGAATATTATTTTCACCCAAAACAAGGAAAATGGACAGGCCTTAAGATGACACGATCAACTTCGTATGCCCAAAAATTGACGAGAGCCTGATTCCACCGCCTTGAGCCACATATGACTCCCTATCCCCCTACTTACAGCCCGACATAGGACAAGTGGAGGAGATTTTGAAACGTGAACTGAACACAAGTTTCCTGGAAGCCACTGGAGTCCGAGATTCTGGAAGTATAAGGTAAGTCAAACGGTCGCTTTGAAGGACAAGCGGGCTAACCTAGATTTCGGGGGTTTCCAGAAATCTTAACCTACACCAAAAGTGGGCATTGCTCTACCTACAGGAGAAGTTTGGTTTCATTAGTGTGTTTGGTTATAGAGAAAATTCTCCTTGTCTTTTAAAGAAACTGAACAAGGAGCGAAAACTTTACCGTCGATTTTCTCAAAACAGCATTTTTCGGGATAGCCGCCTTGTGCTTAAAAGCGACCAAATGTAAAAAAAAACACACCAAAAAAAAACACAAACAAATTAGATATTGCCCTACTTTATAGAATTACAGATATTATAATCTGAAATTTTGGCTGTTTTGAGTTACTATAAAGACTACGGTAAGGTAAAATAAACAACCCCAAATGTTTTAACTTCTCTATCAAAGTTGTGCGATTTTTATTCGAAGTCGTTATCAGGATAATACATGTATACTTTTTAAAATTTGCATTCGTAACAACATGACATGGTGTGAAACTTTCGCCACATTTCTCAAAACTAGGTAGGGTACTGAACGGATAAAACTTTGCAATTTTAGGGAAGCGATTAGTTTGAAGGTGTGTGTGTGTGTGTGTGTGTGTGTGTGTGTGTGTGTGTGTGTGTGTGTGAGTGTGTGTGTGGGGAGGGGGGGTGCACGATACGAGCCAAAGAACTCTGCAATAAAAAAATTGCTATTTCTTTTCAAGACAATAAAAAAATTCACCTTGTCCTCAGTTAGGCAAACTTGTTTTTCGAGCTTCCTCGAAAAGAAATCCTGGAAGTGAAAAGCAAAAAGTAAGCATTCACTACATTTGTAGGGTCTAATAAATGTAGGAGAAGTAAAACACAAGTAAATATGGATCACATTACAGTTTTAGTAGTTTTAGTAAAGGTTTTACGGCGCTGGCAACTGCATAAGGTCATATGAGCACTAAGGGATGGATGTCAACAGAGAAGTCCTTGCAGGGAATCTGGCTTACTCTGCTCACCTCTCTAGCTTCAATAGCACAAAGTCTGCTTCGACTATCAAGGCACCCTGAAATAGCAGTTCACAAGAAAGTGACAAACATACAAAAGAAGTAGAGGAAAATGACGATAGTAAGGATTAGGAAAATTAAGCAGTTATATAGTTCCCTGTTGCAATTCAGGCTCAGTTATGAGCATGACATTGATGAATCAGCCCATTTACATTACTACTGTGCATAAGAACTCGTTATACCCCCTTTGGGAATGGCCTAAAGACACTTCAGTCAGTAGCACCACCCCGGGGGTCGATCACATTACAGTCTTGTACAATGCGCCTCATTCCACCATCACACAGGTGGAACCTATCACAACAGCGTCAACTGTGTGGCGTTGAACACTCCCATTTTGAACATTGTAGGGACATTTCAGAGACAGGACAGGGGGCTCTCGTGGCCTAGAAGTTAAGGTGTTCGCCTCTTTTTCAAAGGGCCCGGGTTCGAATCCGGGTAGGGACCAAAAACTTTTCTTCTTTAAAAGTATCTCCTTTCACCTCCTTTCCTGCTCTCTAGCAATGTTCTGTCGTCTGCTTTCGTCCCCTCTTTCCGCACCCCCCCCCCCCACCGTCTCATCTCCTTTGCTCCCTCCTCTGGGCTCCTGACTCTTTCTACAGCCTTTCTACTGCTACTCCTTGGCTCCTTCTTACTGCTGTCTTTCAGCCACACCCCTGATATTCTGGTAGGAAAAATCTGCACCTAGCCTTCTCGGACAATGGGCGAACAATCTCAGAGGGCCCGTGGGCAAGTTGCGCACGTTAAAGATCCCCTGGTGGCCTAAAAATCGATAAGAGTTGGCTTTGGCTGCCATCCGGGCAAAATTCAAAATTACCTACCAACTGAAAATGCTAAATGTGTCCCGCGCACTCATATGACCTTATGCAGTTGCTAGCGCCGTAAAACACTTACCAAAAAAGAGAAGAGATAGGACCTCCGAAACAGATTCATCATCATCATCATCATCGTCATCGTCATTCTTCCTCCTCCTCCTCCTCCTCCTCCTCCTCCTCCTCCTCCTCCTCCTCCTCCTCCTCCTCCTCCTCCTCCTCCTCCTCCTCCTCCTCCTCCTTCTTCTTCTTCTTCTTCTTCTTCTTCTTCTTCTTCTTCTTCTTCTTCTTCTTCTTCAGGTTCTCGTAAAACAGGTTTCAGGACTGTACTCACCACCCAGTTGTCCATCCAACCGTTGTCTTGAGGAAAATAACCAGCGTGAGTGGACATGGGGAAGCCAAACATGTCGACATAGCCTTCGTCCTCCACACGTCCTGTGATGGTCTGCTCTTGGCGCTTCACCAACTTTTTCATCCCAGAGTTGTGGAGATGTAGCCTGTTGTGGAGGTATAATAATAATAATAATAATAATAATAATAATAATAATAATAATAATAATAATAATAATAATAATAATAATAATAATAATAATGTTAAAAAAATAAATTGCATTTATATTGCGCATTTTCACAAAGAAGTGCTCAATGCGCTGTACAATAACACAAAGAACTTATGAAGCGCACAGCTCCTATAGTAATCCTCTTTCTCTCTCTCTCTCTCTCTCTCTCTCTCTCTCTCTCTCTCTCTCTCTCTCACTAGTCTCACTCTGTCTCTCTCACTAGTCTCACTCTGTCTCTCTCTCTCTCTGTCTCTCTGTCTCTCTGTCTCTCTGTCTCTCTCTCTGTCTGTCTGTCTGTCTGTCTCTTTCTCTCTCTCTCTCTCTCTCTCTCTCTCTCTCTCTCTCTCTCTCTCCAGTACATCCTTGAGTAAAGACAATCCCACAAAGCTTACCAAGACACCCTCGTACACATTGATGAATTCACACAGTCATAAATTGTTACAGAACAGAACAGCATGAATAAACGATACTGAGAGAACATAAAAGATTACTGAGAGAACATAATAATAATACGATTAGGAGGAGAGCCTCGACCATTTGTTGTGATGTCTTATGCTTAAAAAGTTGATTTTTTAAAAAATCGTTTGAATGTGTGTTTCGAAATTCAAATTCTAAATGTTTGAAAACCAAGAAGAGGTAGCCTACATATTGTAGGACCACATTGGGCTGAGCCGGATACCATCTAAAGGAATAATTAATGCAGGTTTTTTAAGACCCTTTACGACACAATTTAGATTATCTAGGAGGCGGCTTCTGATGTTTTAGTTTTAGAAAGTGTTTTACGGCATTTGCAACGAAATAAGGTCATATAAGTGCCGAAGATTAGAGGTGTTACAAGAGAGTAACAAACACAAAAAAGAAGGAGGGGAGAGAAGGAAGATAGATGTTTGATAGTAAAGAAGGAGCAAACCACTCCAGAGCACCCCCCAACCACCCACTGGGCTTCTGATCTTGCTTGTCAGGGCCAACCTGGGCTGAGAGGAACACAACATTCCAACAGATAGACCGGGGTACATTGACTCGATAAAAAATGTCTCCCCTGTCGGGAACCGAACTAAGGTCTTCTGAGTGCAATGCAACAGCGAAGCGCCCGACTGCTATACCACCGGCCCCCGACGCTGGTAGGTAGATTTGTACAGTTGGTGAGCCATGATTGCCGTCGTCTATTTTTTGTTTGTTTGTTTGCTTGTTTGTTTGCTTGTTTGTTTGGCTGATTGGTTGATTGGTTGGTTTTTGTTGTTGTTGTTTTTTGGTAAGTGTTTTACGGCGCTCGCAAAACTGCATAAGGTCATATGAGCGCGCGGAGCACATTAAACATTTTTTAGTTAGTAGGAAATTTTGAATTTTGCACGCATGGCTGCTAAAGCCTACTCTTATTGATTTTAGACCACCAAGGGATCTTTAACGTGCGTATTTTGCACACGGGCCCTCCGAGATTTTTTGCCCTTGTCCGAGAAGGCTAGGTGTAGATCTTTCCAACCAGAAAACCGTCTGTTTTAAAACGTAGATCTGTCACTCGAAGAAGAAATGTGGATGTTTACCTGGCCGCCTGTTCTCCGAGCAAGGGGAAGTTCTTGGAGGTGATGTGCCGAATAGGCATGTAGTCCAAGACCAACATGGCTCCTCCGTGTGGGTTCTTGATGTACTGAAACAACAGTTATGGTTTTGATTGATTGAGTAGGTGTTCTACGACACTATCGACTCAATTTTGGTCATATAAGTGCCAACAAGCTTTATTGTAACAAATCTATCATCATATTATGTTTTAGTTTTAGTAAGTGTTTTACTGTGCTCGCAACTGCGTACAGCCATATCACAACAGTTATGGTGATATCTGAGCTTTTGGAGAGCATAACAAACTTTGAAAATGAAATTAGCTTTCACATATTTTATTTTAGCAATATTTTTCTCTCCCGTCTATGTCCTTAAAGATCATACTGCACGCTAATTTGACCTTATGCATTTGCGAGCGCCGTAACACTTTTACCAAACTGATAAAGACCATAGCAATGCCGCACCAATTTAATATTCAAAACAAAACTTAGAAAATTGGTATGTAAAGGGTGGGAATAAGGACTGACAGCTGCTAAAACGCTGCTCCCCCCTCCCCAAACACCCACATACGTCTCGTATTAAAGAAAAACCAAGCGTCTCTACGACGCTGTACGCTGTACGATGTTGTAAAGCGCTCAGAGCCTGTGTACTTTAATCGGGGTTGAGCGCTATATAGGCCTAAATGTCATAATTTATTATTATAGAGTGGGAAAGCAATGAGGACAGCGCACTTTCCCCCTTATGCAACAACGTCCTATTCGTCTAAGTCGGCGTTGGAACTGAGAAAGGGGGTTTAGTGCGAGTAAAAAGCGGGGTATTCAGACGACAAGAAAAGGGGAAGAAAAGAAGTAGTTCCGACCCACCCGACCCGACCCGAACCAACCTGACCCAGCTCAATTATGCAAACCAAACTCTTTTGACAGCTCGTGGGTACAGTTCATATACACAGTGCCCTGTGTTACCCCCGGGGCGGTGCTACTGACTGAAGCGTCTTTTAGGCCATTCCCAAAGGGGAAAAAGGGGGGGGG